AATTATATATCCCTTATATAACAATTAGAATTAGCATAAAATTGCTAATTCATATTTATAGATACTATAATCATCAGTAGACGCCAAAAGTTTGTACACTAATCACTCATAGAACTAGTTTTTTAATTAGAAAACATATCAAAATTTGCACAAATATGGCCATAGCTAAAATTAGAGAAGAAAGGATGACCAACCACAATTTAAGAAAAATTATGCATTACACTTAACCTTGGAAATAAAATGTACACTGGATCAACAACTATCTCTCGCATTTTGACAAAGCAAATATGTATTTAGGGATATTAGGACAGATACAAGAGCAGAGAAATTGGTCATATTCACATAATACATAAAAATAATAAGAATAACCAAAGAATAAAACATATTCAAAATAAGAAGGCGGCAAAGGAAACAGTACCCCATCACTTAAATCTCAGTTCTAACAATTTTGTGACCCATTTAAAAAAGTTAAATCCATCATGTTAGTGCAATCCGCCTCATCTTTCAAAAGAATATAATTCAAAACATACACTAATGTTTATTTCAGTTTTCATCAAGTGATCCAACTTTTCAAGTACTAAACTGTGAATACATTAACATGCTCGCACAGACATCAAATTTTTAAAGTTGGCAGATCCTAAAACATAAGAGTCAATTGCAATTTCCCCCCTAAGGTATCATCACTAAATGTGTTGGTAAAGGTTAATTTGTAGCACTTGAATATCTTTTCGAGAATGCTATTTCTTCAACAATTGAATGTGACATATATTAAAGACATTTGTATGATAGTATACAACATTCCCTGGTCAAGTTGAAGATGCTAAGAAAGAAATCAATGTTGCAGTGAACAATAGACTCATAATAACATTTATAAGACACGGGCAACAGTTGAATCAATCCTGAGATTGCATGTTGTTTTTTCAGATGGATTTAATATTGATTCATGAATTTCTAGCGCAGACTACAGATTCATACACTATGATTTCTTCAGAGAATTGAATACGACAGGTTGACACTGTTCGTACTAACATTCAGTATTTTGAATATGAACTAAAGATATACACTTTGAAAAATGAAATTCAGAGTCATTGTGTAGATTACTGATGAACAAGACACATGCTAATGGGACTGATAATATTTCTTTCTTTCCCGAATTAAAAGAGAAAAGGAGCTGAGTAGTAAAATTTTAAACATTCAAATGTTACTGGCTGAGGTTGCAAATTGATAGAAAAATAAGACACGGAGATTCAGATTGTCCTTAAATCTCTTGCGTGCTCTAGACACTTTTTGCAACCAACCAACAACATTGTTCAACAAATATTCAATAAAATACCTTTTTCTTTAAGGTAAAAGTAAACAGTCAAAGTTTTGAGTCCATGCAAGGCAATGAGATAGACACATGGTGCATCACCAACTTTACAATTAATAGCAGATACAAAAGAAGCTCCACAGAATTCAATAAAAGTCCATATTTATATAATTATTAAGTCGATGGTGAAAGAAATCTTCAAATATTTTATAATCCCTTCTCACTTATATGTGAAACTGAATCAAATGAAAAGGCTTTGAGAAAAGAGTCCTTCTACAGATGTTCTGGCATTTAGAACAAGTCTCTAAATATCAGCACTTGAAACATTGCACAGTGTAAAATACAAATTTAGGGAAAAAAATAAAAGAGATTAACATGTTCTATAAAATTTCTGGTAATCTGCTTGATAAGAGTGAAAGTAAGCATATCCTAGGAAGAGGTGGTGTGTAGGACTAGTGGAATACGAGGGAGAGAGAAACAGGAAAAATCTATATAATAAGAACGGGAGAAGCTCAGAAGAAATGGAAGAGAAACACAATGTGTTGAGAGAAAAATCAATCTTCACCATTGAAGTTTAGTCTACCACTAAACAACTAAGACTATAAAGTGGCCCCAAAAAAAAAAACCTAAAACTTCTATCAGCAACAAATGGTTAATAGCATAACATAGTTGGCTTCCCACATTCTCTGGTTGATTCTTATATTTCAGCAATTGAGATCTAAGTATATGTAGCATATTGATTATTGATACCATACAGCATAGGTTTCACTCACTTTCTATATCTATAATACTTGAACAACATAGATTGATAATACTGAAATAAATAATGTTCTCACAGAACTCTTTCTACCCTTTTTTTAATGAGAATCAAATGTCTCATTCAATATCAAATCTTGGTTTTTCTATTGTAGTAATACTTTTTGCCATCATTTGTTGTAACCAATGCCCAATCAGTGCCAACCAAATAGTCCATAAACAGAAGAAAACATAAGAAAATTACGAAGGAAATACTATACATTTCTTCAATATAGGATACTCCTTAAAAAACTATAATAGACAAAAGTTCACCATTTAACCCTATTAGTGTTTAGTGGATAATTTTAACTATGATATAGTGTCAATTCAATGTACTACAAGCTAAAAAGACGCAATGGATCTTGTTATAGGGATGATACTACTCTTTGAATAAGTTATTAGGCATGATAGAAAGTATATATTATTGCCTTACTTATCAACTTAAGCTGTCAACTAAATTATAATGAATTGTATTTATCATTATGGTTGTAACTTTTATGAGCAAGGGCAAATAAAGGAGGGTGCTAAAGCTTAAATACTATTGTTAGGCCCTTACCAAAGGGAATTTCAGGAAAAAGGATAGGGTTCTGCAGGCAAAGTGGTGATCAGAAGTTTCCCATTGGAAGAATGGTCTGACCATTGTAGTCACCAAAAGCTTACATGGTATTCAGCCAAATGGAAAATTATCTAGTTCAAACAGTAGACCTTGAAATCATATTTTCAAGTTGTTCCCGTCATTAATAATATTGATTTAATAATTTGAAATGGCAAGTAAATCTATTTTTGGGTGAATAACATGGATCAAAGGAGAAAGCATAAGTGATTGATTTCCTCACCTTTTTTAGATTATGTCATCATAGATTCTTTTTTTTAGGTCGTAATAGATTTGAGAACATCCATGTTTCCTTCATCGGCTCATAAAAACTGGAGCTGGATTTATAATTTCGAAAGGATTTAAGAGATAAGGAGATCTTGAAATTTTCAACATTGTCGAGATTGATTGATAATGTGCTTTTAAATAAGAACAAGGCAGATAGGATGACCACGGAACTTGCTCTTAAGATTGCCACTCCTCTTAATCCTATTTTGACAAACTTTGTGAAGAAAATCTAAATGATGACTTCAACCAATTCAATATGATTTGGAAAGCACATGTTCCCCTTAAACATTGAAGTATTTGCCTAGACTTTAGCCCTAGAAGAATTCACAGAAAATAAAAATGCTATTCATGAAAAAACATACAGCAATAAACCTGCCCCTTCTTTCTGTAAGTGCAAAAACACTGAAAAAATAATTTCTCATTTACCACATATTGGCACTGTTTTAAAAACCGGACTGGACCGGCCGATTCAACCGGTTGAACCGGGAACCGATCACGTATCCGGTCCGAGTCAACATTAAAACCGTCACTATACATTAAACCGCGTTAACCCGGTCAAAACCCTGATAAAGTCAATGAACCGCCGGTCCGATAAACCGGTCTGATTTCAAAACCCCCAACCATACCCAATCGCACTACCGCAGCCCATTCCATCGATTTCCTTTCTCTGTTTCTCAGATTCTTCTCATTCTCAGTTTCTCTACTAAAATTTCTTAGATTTCTTAGCTTCTCTTCGAAAATTTCTCCATTAAATTTCGTTGATGATTTTTTTTTCTATGAAACGTATGCACATCTTGTGTATGTACAGGAAGAAAATGGAAAACAAAAACGAAAAGGAAGACTTAGAGATAATCGATTACAAGATTGAAACTTGCGATCAAGAAATTGCGTCTTTAAGGCCGGTGCGTGTCCAGGCAGAACCTTGACTCCACCAGATCTTCATCTTCCACAGTTGCTTGTATATAGCTGTTAGTCTCCAGCTTCAATTGGTTCTGGTCAGCGAAATATGTTGAGGAGGGGAACTGACTGAATATTGTTTCCACAGAATCAAATTTTTGGTGTTTGAGATGAAGAAGTTGAGTCACCAGAAGAAAAAAAACAGAGGATGTCATGCCCATTGATTAGCCATTGGTTTTGTCTGGTAATGGCATGGTGTCGGTGCTGCTGAACCTGTTTTGTTTTGGTTTTCGAATTTTCCAATGTTTCCCAAAACCAAAGCATTGGCTCCCTAGAAATGTTGCAAATGTTTTCCAAGGCCAGTTGTATTCCACTACTTGGTCATGGGCCAATTTAAGTCTCAATTGTTGTAGAATGGGGCTGAAACTATATTGTATCAACATTTGGGCTACACAAAAGCCCAAGATCCTTTAATTCTATTGTTTGAGAAATTTCATACTTCTTGTTAAATGGTTAAGGATTTGATGGAGGAAATTAAAAGATAGTGAGAATTATTTGTTGTATGAAGTGTGTTCCAATCTCATTCCAGCCAGTGGTCTTTTGGATAAAGTTTTTTTAAAAATGTGCTGATGTCATCACACATTGTGATGATGTCACCGGTCCAACCGACGGTCCAACCGATTGGACCGGTTGAACCGTGACCCGGCCAGTAGAGCGGGTTGCCCTCCGGTCCGGTTTTTAAAACAATGCATATTGGCTTCATTTTCATAGAAAGATGGCAAGTAAGTTAACTTCCAAAGGGTCATCCTGATATAATCTTACCTTTTAGCATAAAGTTTTTGGGCTTTCTTTAAAGGAAAGAGAGCTAGGACCTCAAACGGGCCAATACAAAATTTGAACTCAAGCCAATGCTTCGTGAGGGCTTGCTTCGTGAGGCACTTTAGCTCAATCAAAAGCACCAATAAATCTTCAATATGTAACTGATTATTGCTGATGATCGATATATATTTGAAAATTACACAACAGACAATGAATCTTCAGCACTCAATATAGACATATAAAGAATCCAGAAAACTGAACCAAAAAATTACATGAGTCGAAGCACATTTTGTTTCTGAGGACAAAACTGCTAGTAAGATATTGCCAAATTTAAATAACTTACATTGAAACCGGAGTTGGTTGCACAGAAACTTTGTCAACCTGCACAATGTTAAAACAAAATACGACACATGATTAGACACACATTCAACAGCTCAAGAAAAGGCTAATTGAAGCCACAAATGATAGCTAAAAGGGAAGCAAAACACCACTAGCCGAGAGGTCAACGAACACTAGTTTTATACTTCAATAAAAATCCAATGGTACGATGCCAGAAAGCATCTTAAGAGTTCAAGAAAATAATAATTCCTCAAACAGTATATGTTACCCAGTCCATATATTTGGAGTAATACGCCAGCAAGAATTTTGGGCAGTGCCAGAAATGCTAAGCGATCTAATATAATCTCATTATCCCTCCCCTGTATTTTTCAGAATCTTCCAGCAGTATATCCTACGCCTTTTTTGTAGTTCTAAACCAGCGTGCTATCATTATTTGTGCACCAAATTACTCATGACTTCTTTCATATTATAGCAGGGTGGTTTTGGGTGGGAAAATTAAAACAAATACAATTATATGGACTGGACCGAAAAAGGATCAGATAAGAGGTCAATCTAATCAAATGCATCACCAATAGAATTTTACCTCAAAGCTATTCCATTGACATTTTGGAAGTTATACAAAATTTAGTACCAGAAGTATGCTTTGCATAAGAATATATAAACAAAATAACATGCATAGTGCTCTAACAACTTATCAACAAGTGACCATAAGTAATAATTACATATACCTCCCCCTTAAAGCCAGCAGGTTTGTTATAAGTTGATTATCCTGTTTCAGCATTATAATAGTAGACAACCCCTGTATCAGTCTTGTGGGCTGTCCATGCATCTAATTGTTCATTGACAGCAGATCGCTCGTTTGCGTCGAACTCATGTACACATTCCCTGTTATCTACAAAGCCATGAAAGATTGATGAGGCAAAAATTGACTCCAGGTAACAACAATAAGGATAAACAGCTCTTACATTGCTAGCTGATCAGTAATCTAGCATAAACCCTGAGCGTACCAATTCCAGAAGGTGGTTCTGTCTGCATCCCTGAAGCGCCTACCACTTGTTGCCCCGAAGCAGCAGAAGATGTGGGAGTTGCACCAACATTTGTCACAGAAGGAACACCAGGAGGTAAAGAATCATTTGATGCAACAGAAAGATGAGGTATGCCACGTGTCGGCAAAAGAAAGGGAGTAGGATAAACAGGGGGATATGACGAAAAAGGCGGCCTAGGCATGACACCCGTCTGTGGGTGCTGCAACCAGTGTCCCTGAGAGGAACCAGTTATAGGAGGTAACGATGGATGGGTAGGGTATGTTGAATGCTGAATTGCTTGATTTGATGGAGCAGGAGCAGTTGACACACTGGGTCTCCATACTGCAGAAGAGTTTGAATCCAAAATTGCTGGTGAAGCATCCTTCAGTGGGGATGGCACTAGTCCGAGAGGGCCTGGTGTCCCTGGAGCTCCAGATAATCCTGGTGGAACGGGTAAAAGATGAGACAGTGTGCATCCATGAAGTTGGACCAACTTTACTAGTTGAAGATGCAGCCACTGTAGAACTAGAAGAATTATTTAAAGACTGAGAGCTGGTTGATGCAGATGATCCAGGACCAGCTCGTGCAACAGCAGATGATTGTATCCTGCAAAAAGAATAAGTAAATCAAAAAATAATGTTCTCAATACAAACAAACAAACAGTTAACCTCCATTAATCACAAACTTTAATTAATTATCATTCAACAACAAATACCATTCCACTGCCTCATAAGCAATAACCAAACATCATTATGTATATTCTAGAGAACTAACTCCTTGGCAGAATATAATTCAAAACTAACAAAACCAGCCAGTAGCTTGGTTAGGAAATTCTTAAGACTTAAATATTAACAGAATTCAAAGAACTAGATAAAGAGACTATAATACAAAAGAGTATTATCCTTCAGGTTAAAACCTAATTTATTTTGATAATAAAAAGTGAGTGGCTATGATGACATTCATGATTCTTGGTTTTCTTAATACAAGATTTCATTCATAGTATCAGTCAATGAACTCTTCGATTCCAGCAATCTTAACTTTGGAAGCGGAATATCTTCAAACACCAGCATCTACCTCGATTAGACTCAGAGAAAGAATAAAGAAGAAAAATATGCTACACAGACTCCTTGGCAGAATATAACACAAAACTAACAAATCAGCCAGTAGCTTGGTTAGGAAATTCTTAGGACTGAAATATTCACAGAATTCAAAGAACTAGATAAAGAGACTATAATACAACAGAGTATTATCCTTCAGGTTAAAACCTAATTTATTTTGATAATACAAAGTAAGTGGCTATGATAACATTAATGATTCTTTTATTTTTTTAATACAAGATTTCATTCATAATATCAGTCTATGAACTCTTAGATTCTAGCAATCTGAACTTTGGAAGCGGTATATCTTTGTTGGAAACTATGTGTATATATAGAGTGTAAAGGGTAAAGGGTATATTTGTAATTATTGAGTGTGTATATATTTGAGTTAGGTTGTACAGTTGATATTGAGTGAAATATAGAGAGTAACATGGTATCAGAGCTCTGGACGCATAAACCCTAAACCCATTTGCGTGGTTCTGTTTTTCGGCGACGTCTGACCCTTTCCCTGTGTTTTCCGGCGAGTGCTGACCTCTTCCTTGTGTTTTCCGGTGACGTCTGACCCCTTCCCTGTGTTTTCCGGCGACATCTGACCCCTTCCCTATGTTTTCCGACGAGTGCTGACCCTTTCCTTGTGTTTTCCGACGACATCTGACCCCTACACTATGTTTTCCAACGACGTCTTACCCCTTCCCTCTGTTTTCTGGCGACGTCTGACCTCTTCCCTCTTTTTTCCAGCGACGTCTAACCTCTTCCCTCTATTTTCCGACGACGTCTGACCTCTGTGTTTGTTTTCCGGCGACGTCTGACTCTGTTCTTCGTTGTTTCCCTTTTTTTTCCAGCGAGTGCTGATTCTGATTGTTGGTTTGGCGCAGTAAATTTTTTTTAGTCAAAATGGGAATGCTTTGTGTTGGCTTGGAGTTGAAAATGTGATACCAGAGTTGTTGTGAATCCTAGTGGTTTGAGTTGTTGTGTTTGCTTGGGTTGTTTGGTGTTGAGATTGTTGTGAATATATGGAGTTACAGTTCTTTGCTAGACAATATGGCAGCGGACGGTAAGATGGTGACTGAAATTGTCACTTCCTCCACCAAAATTAGTGATCGAAAATTATTGGGAAAAAGGAATTATATTCAATGGAAGCGGATTATTCGACGATATGTGTCCAGCATTGATATGAGAGACCATTGAATCGAGAATCCACCTGAGGAAACAGAAAATGATAATAAAACTCGAAAAAGATGGCTCATGGAAGATAATAAGCTCTTCAATCAGATTCAGAACACTCTTGATTCGTCCGTGGATGATGTGATTAGTCACTGTGATACAGTGAAGGAGTTATGGGAGTATCTAGAGTTCTTGTATGCTGGTAAACAAGACTTGTCTCATGCCCACGAATTGTTATTGAAGATCTATCGAGCAAATATGCAAGAGAAGACATTGCTCGAATATTATACAGAGATAAAACAAGCCTTTGAAGAAAAAAGGGCTATGTTTCATGTCCCTACTGACGTGAAAATGATGCAAGCACAAGAAGAACAAGTGGTAGTGCAATGTTTTCTGGCTGGGTTGAGACCGGAATATGAGATAGCTCGTACACAACTTCTTACTAGTGAGACACTTCCCTCTCTTACGGATGTCTTTGCTCGCCTTCTCAAAGTTAGTAAGGGGGAAGATCGAGGAGTGTCTAAGGACAAAGAAACCCTTAAGGATCCTAATGTTGATCATACGGCCCTAGCTAGCATGAAGTTTGGTGATGGCAAAGGTAACAAAGGGACAAGTCGTGATCCTAGAAACAATCGTAGTAATGACCCTCGTACTTGTTTTCACTGTGGTACTGAGGGTCACATAAAGAAAAATTGTTGGAAGCTCCATGGCAAGCCCCTGAATATGCAAGACACTCGGAAGTTTGCTCATGTTGTAACTCAAGATGGTCTCTTACCCACCCCATCACAGGTTGTTATCTCCGCAGCAGAATATGCTCGTCTCACTCAGAATTCTTGCTCCCAATCATCTATCCCATCGACTACCACTACTTTAACCCAGTTAGGTAATCCTACAGCCTGTTTGTCCACTTCTAGTAGTAACTGGGTCATTGATTCTGGTGCTACCCACCCTATGACAGGCGATACAAGTATTCTCTCCTCATTTACACCTTCTCCCAATTTGTCTTCGGTTACCTTAGCTAACGGGTCTACTGCACCTAATATCGGATGCGGTACTACCTATCTCAACAAATCTCTATCTCTTTCCTCTGTCTTGTGCCTTCCTCATTTTCCCTTTAATCTTTTATCAGTTAGTCAAATTACTAATGCATTCAATTGTAGTGTTTACTTTTTTCCTACTCATTGTATATTTCAAGATCTTGGGACGAGGCGGATTATTGGTAGGGGCCGTGTATCAGGTGGCCTGTATATGCTCGATGATGTCTTCACTCCTGTCTCTCAACCTGTTACGTGTACCAATGATTCATCTCTACCCATACTACATGGTCGCCTTGGTCATCCTCCCTTTCCCATTTTGAAAAGGCTGTGTCCTAATGTAGGGTCAGTGTCACACCTTGAGTGTGAGGCGTGTCAGTTTGGAAAACACCATAGAGTGTCCTATAGCCCTAGGATAAACAAAAGAGCCATAACCCCTTTTGATGTTATACACTTTGATGTTTGGGGTCCTTGCCCTGTATTGTCTAAGTCTGGATATCGATATTTTGTTATTTTTGTGGACGATTTTTCACGTGTAACTTGGTTGTACTTTATGAAAAATCGTTCTGAATTATTCTCCATATTTTGTACCTTTTATGCTGAAATACAAAATCAATTTACTTCATCTATTAAAATTCTCAGAAGTGATAATGCCAAAGAATACTTTTCTGCTCCTTTCTCTTCTTTTCTGTCTACCAGAGGTATTATTCATCAGTCATCATGTGTTTATACACCTCAGCAAAATGGAGTTGCTGAATGCAAAAATCGTCATTTATTAGAAGTCGCTCGTACTCTCCTTTTTCACATGAAAGTCTACAGAATTTTGGGCAGATGCTATCTCTACAGCATGTCACTTGATCAATCGCATGTCTTCTTCTGTTTTGGGTGGTCAAATCCCGTTCTCCATTTTTTTTCCATCACAGCCTTTGTTCTCTCTTCCTCCTAAAGTGTTTAGGTGCACGTGCTTTGTTCAAGATGTTAGACCTCATGCATCCAAATTTGAACCTTGGTCCCTCAAGTGCATATTCGTGGGTTATTCCCGATATCAGAAGGGTTATCGCTGTTTTTCTCCTGTCCTAGGTAAGTACCTTATCTCAGTTGATGTTTCCTTTTTTGAAACCACTCCATATGTTGAGTCCTCCACTTCATCTACTTCTCTTGAAGCACCCCCTAATGATCTTTTTGTTTACCACATTACCTATCATAGTCCTCTACCATCTCGTCCTCCTATCACCCAGGTATACTCTCGTAGGGTTCACCAGTACCATGAGACACCTGCAGCAACATCTGATCCACTGCCTCTATCGACTGCCTCGCCCTCTGATCCGATTCCTCCATCCTTTGACCATGATCATGATCTTCCCATAGCTCTTTGTAAAGGTAAGCGCTCTTGTACCTATCCTATCTCCTCATTTGTTTCCTATCACTCTCTGTCTTCATCTTCCAAGTCTTTTATTGCCTCTTTAGACTCTGTGTCTGTTCCCAACTCTGTGTCTGAAGCAATTGCTCATGATGGCTGGCAAAGGGCTATGGAAGAAGAGATGTTGGCTCTAGAACATAATGATACATGGGTTCTAATGTGATGGGTGGCGACGGGCTATGGAAGAAGAGATGTTGGCTCTAGAACATAATGATACATGGGTTCTAATGGGGTTGCCTGAAAATAAAAAGGCTATTTGGTGCAAATGGGTTTTCACAGTGAAGGCTAATCCCGATGGGACTATGGCTCGCTTGAAAGCTCGGTTGGTTGCTAAAGGTTATGCCCAAACGTATGGTATTGATTATTCTGAGACATTCTCCCCAGTGGCTAAAATGACCTCTGTCCGACTATTCATCTCTCTTGCAGCTTCATATCGTTGGCCTCTTCACCAACTTGATGTAAAAAATGCCTTTCTACATGGTGATCTTATTGAAGAGGTTTACATGGAGCAACCTCCGGGGTTTGTTGCTCAGGGGGAGTCAGGAAAGGTATGCAAACTGAGGAAATCTTTATATGGCTTAAAGCAATCTCCACGGGCGTGGTTTGGGAGGTTTAGCGAAGTGGTGACTCAGTCTGGTTTACATAGGAGTGCTTATGATCACTCTGTCTTTTATAAGCAATCTAGTTTTGGCATCATTCTTTTTGTTGTTTATGTTGATGACATTTTAATCACTTGTAGTGATTATGTTGGCATTCAGAGTTTGAAAAACTGTTTGGCTTCCAAATTTCACACAAAAGACTTGGGTACTTTAAGGTACTTTCTCGGAGTTGAGATTTCTCGGAGTAAGAAAGGGATCTTTCTCTCTCAACGCAAGTATGTGTTAGATATGTTGACCGAAATGGGTCTAAGTGAGGCTAAGCATTGTGACACTCCTATGGTTCCTAATGTGAGATTGAATGCTAAGGATGGAAAGATATTTGGTGATCCAGAGAGGTACAGATGGATAGTTGGAAAGTTAAACTACCTTACAGTAACCCGTCCAGATATTGCTTTTTCAGTGAGTGTGGTGAGTCAGTTTATGTCATCTCCTAGGACATCTCATTGGGATGCAGTCCTCCATATTTTGAAGTATCTAAAAGGAGCCCCTAGACGTGAGATTATTTACAGTGATCTTGGTCATAATAAGATAGAAGGTTTTTCAAATGCTGATTGGGCAGGATTCTCTGTGGATAGACGATCTATGACTGGGTTTTGTGTTTTTGTTGGAGGAAATCTTATTTCTTGGAAAAGTAAGAAGCAACCGATTGTAGCTAGGTCAAGCGCAGAGTCTGAGTATTGGGCTATGGCACAAGTTACGTGTGAGCTCATATGGACAAGACATCTTCTTAGAGAAATTGGGTTTGGTGACCCAGGGACTATGGACTTGTGGTGTGACAACCAAACGGCCATACATATATCAAACAATTTAGTCTTTCACGAGAGGACTAAGCATATAGAAGTGGATTGTCACTTTGTATGAGAGAAACTTGAACAAAAGTTAATTGCTACTAATCATGTTAGAACAGGGGAACAACTAGCTGACATCTTCACGAAGTCTCTAGTTGGTAAAAGGGTAACTTATATTTGTAACAAGCTGGGCATGATAGATATATCTGCTCCAGCTTGAGGGGGAGTGTTGGAAACTTTGTGTATATATAGAGTGTAAAGGGTAAAGGGTATATTTGTAATTATTGAGTGTGTGTATATATTTGAGTTAGGTTGTACTGTTGATATTAAGTTAAATATAGAGAGTAACAATCTTCAAACACTAGTATCTACCTCGATTAGACTCAGAGAAAGAACAAAGATAAAATATGCTACACAGAAAGAAGAATAGAAACACCTTCCATTCATATAGGTACAGCGGGATACGTTACAAACAATATACCCAATTTTGTGTACAGCATGATCAAATTAAGTCGAGACTACTAATTAAAGTAGATTCGACTAATTCAAACATTCCTTCATCTGATTGAAATGGGGCATATAATAATCTGATTGAAATGGAGCATATAGTACTCACCTTGGCAAGGTTGTGTTGCCAAGTTAACAAATGTAAGTGTTCAACTGCAAATGAACTTTTTCATGAGCTTCAGTAATGTCTTCAAACATTAATACAGTCATCAGAAAATTAGAGTTCCTAGTAGGCAAAGAATTGGGCTCAGACCATTACAAAAGGAGTGTTAAGAAATCACTTGAGTCAAAAATTTAAGCAATAAGAACCCAACAGTGATATTTACCTTTCAACCAAGGCCCCTTATACATAACATGGCCTAAACAGAGACAGAATAGATTACATAAGGGAAAACAAATCCCAGATACAGATGCCTACAAACATTGGGGTTCAAACTCAAGATCTCAACTCTGATATCATGTTGNAGAAAAATGGAGCACAATGTCACAACAAAAATAAAAGCAAACTATGCTAGCAGCAAATTTACATAATCCAGAGCAAACATTTATATTTCACTCATAGTGTACAAAGAGTTAAAGACTAGAGGTCACAATTTCAAAAGATACCAGATATATAACACAAAATTATGCTTCCTGCATGGTTTGAACAGAGAATTAGGGAAGTAGTGCACAGAATATTGATGATATAATTCAAATCATGCAAAGTTGTAAAAATTATTTTCTCAAAATATAAATAGCACATCTTCCTTATCACATATCAAAGGAAAATACTTAACAGCCTGAAAAATCCAGATTTTAAAAATCATGGGCAAATTGATCCAAACTTCAAAACATAGCATTGCATAGAAACTTATGACCATCACATTGACCTAAAAATCATGAATCACATTACCTAAAGAAAATATAAATAATCTCCACGCTTCACATAGATGAAATGTCTATAATAATCAATCAGGATGTTTGTTTCTTATAAAAAATAGTTTAACAGTAATAACAATCAAATAAAACCTGCTGCCAAGTGGTATCAACTGGAGGCTGCCTACGAGCATCACCAGCATCAAAATCTAGAACTCCATAATCCCTTAATCGAATCTGCAAAGAGATACAAACAAAAGCAGACATAAGCTAAAAGAAATAACTTAAAACTAGAGTAACAAGTCAACAAGTAAAATCAGCTTGTTTAGCAATATGCAGACAAACCCGAAGAAAGGCGCGGACTCTTTGCAAATTTCCAACAGTTCCACCTAGAGCAGCCTATAATAAAAAATTATAAATGCAACATATAAGTGCTTTATAAATATAGTGGCAAGATAGAGAAAAACAGAGCAGCTTGCAGAAGCAAAGAAGGGAAGCCTCTGAATCATGGTAAAAGTGATTTTCATGTGAGCAAGGCAACCATGCAGTAAGAGTTCACGAGAAAAACAGCAGTAATAAAAAAAAAATACTATAAAATATAATTGTAAGCAAAATCCAGTTCCACAAAATAGAGTCAAATAAGGTAATAGTAGACAGAGGCATTACTTGCGCAGGATGGCTTTGTATCGTATCCATAATATATTTCTCATGCCCGCACTCCAGATGACGCCTCGCACCAATTACTAATGACATCTTTCTAGAAACATTTCGTTGCAAAGTTGCATCCTCACCCATCATCATCTACCAGTGCATTGAATCCATCAAATTAGTTGCATTTTATTATAGCAGGGAGCATAACAAATCAAAGAACACATTTACATTGTAGCATATTTTAGAAAAATTAAACACATAAATCGATATAGAAAACCTGAAGAAGGTGCCATATTTTCTGTATGTTAACTGATTTTCCACCAGATACTACAACGCCCAAACTTTCATAAGCACTCCTAAAAGCTGCTGCAGGCTACATAAAATAATAGAGTAAACAGAAAGAAAAGCATCAAGATAAAAGAACCAAAGAAGATATATGTCATTCCATGTTAGAAGAAGTAGTTATAGTTAAAATCTTTAAAAAAGGCAAAAAATTGGTAGAGCAGATACAACTTATAACTGGCATGCATACTGAATAAAGAACAGTTTACTGCCAGCTTCACTAGGGATTACTGTCAAGATGATAGCTTATATATTTCTCTAACAGGCAGTAAATTATCAAATAGACAAAATATATGCAAACAGGCAACTCAAGCTCTAATATATTTCCGAATCAGTGAGTATTTTCAGTAAAAATAAAAGCCAGTCTTACTTTAAATGGTAATCCTCGCTCTCTCGCATTGTTTAGGTTCTTCACAACTTCAGCATAGACAGTTGCTTTTTTCTCTTGGACAGGCTTGTTAGCTAAGGGTACAAGCTCCATGCTAGATGGCCCTGAGGAAATATGTGGACTAGAAGTCACGGACACTATTTGACCTGAACGAGTTCCCCCTGTGCTTGTATCAATCATGTTAGTCTTGGGTAGTGTTGAAATTCGGCTTAGGCTCTGAAGAAAGTCACGTTTTTCTTTTTGCCAGTCCTCCTGCCAACAACAGATTTCAACTATCAATCCGAAGTAAATGCACAAGAAGAATTGAAAATTCCCACAGCTACCATCAAGATCTTAACACTTATTACAACACTCTAGAACAATGGAATGTTCCCACCTCACAGGACAGTAAACAATCAAAAAGTTATTAATAGACTTTGTGATAGAAACTGTGAAATTATAATACATACTACTAGTTTCAAGGATATAACCTTTTTCCATAATTTTTGCAAATAGTAGTTACAAGCTCTAAGTAAAATACACAATCATCCTGCTGAAACTGAAACAGAAACTCACATGGTTCCATTAGAGTACCTCAAGAAAATGTCCTGACCCATCGTAAATCAGTTGGAAATTATCTTAAATCAAACATATTTGTCAACGAAAAATATTTAATTTATATTTTAGAAAACAAAAACAATTAATCAACATGTACTTGTATAAACACTCAGCAATGACAGAGTATACGAAACAAATGATTGATTTAGGGAATGCAACAAAATTTTGCTTCAAAAACAGAGAGGGTTAAGAAGCTAAAATGGATGAAGTAAACAAAGTTCATGCATTCATTAGACATTATTCTAATTTTATAAGTTATAACCATAGTAAAACTGCCAATAGTAGAAACAATAGTTGCACTAGTGTGCGTGAAGAGAAACCTACAAACAAAGTTATAATAACAATCTAAAAATCTATCATGTTAAACTAACCTGCTGAACTTTCATCATGTAATCATTGAAACTTCTGAGGTTATCCTTCTGAGCTTCTTGGATTGCCGACACCATTGCAATTTCATGAACCTGAGGTGAAATAGTTATTGCATACAATATCATCTACCAACCACTCATAAACTAAAAAGCTTATAATGTGGCTAGAAACTTGTGAAATCGTTGAATGATACTAAAACAAAGCAGAATTTGCAACCAAAAAGAAAACAATTGCTTAATAGCTGTAGCAGCCATGTGATGGAACAAAACTCTATCATAAATTAGAAAATAGCACATGAACATAGCACACAGAATATAGGTGAAAAAGAGAGAAGCAGCGTTTTAATCATTGCAGGTCTCACTCAGCAGACAGATAGGTTGCAAGCACTTCAGTACATATATGCTTAACAGTCAGACTAGTTTATATGAATGTAAATTTAAGAAAGTTTACAAAATAAAGTTATATATCTATTGTAACAGCTCTTCCACCAGTTAAAAAGGAGGCAATGACCGGAGGCTTGCTTGAATTGGACAAAAGTACATACCACATAAAGGTCGAACCATTTAATCATACAAGCATGGAGGAAACAACAAAGAAGAACGCAATGTGGCAGATAATTTATTAACTGTTCAGATAAAAAGAAGGCTTTTAAGTAATCTTACTTCACTGCTATCTCTCTCTAGACTTATCCCATTTGTGGATCTTTTGGGAAATGTCAAGAAATTTGCTAAGCCAAGACCTACAATGAAAAGGTTTTGAAGGGTAAAGTTTGAGTACGGCACTAGCTGCTTCTAAGCATTAACAATTTGAGGATGCTTTTAATCTAAAAGTTTAACTATGCTAGTTGAGCAAATGACCAGGGAAGCATCAAAATCAGTTGTTAGCTGATAACAGAAATGCCAGTCTTTCTAAACAGTGAAAAGAAGTTCATCATCTTTGCATGGAGGGGTGCAGGCAAATAGAATAAAAACCTAAAATATCAGTGAGATAATTTTTTTTCTATATGAAACAGTAAAAGATCGTATTAAAAGATCGTATAGTATTAAGGAAGGAAAAGGAGAAAAACACAAGCAAATCAGGTATTCCCAAATAATATTAATAATATAGTCTCTGTAGCACTTTCCCAAAGCCACAGTCCAGCAGAAGAATTTAATTTTAGGGAAACGGGAGCCTCCCATATCATAGAAAACTGCTTAAAATCGTCATTGGAAGTTCTTCACAAAGTCATTGACATAATAACCAGATGGTGTATTATAATCCTTTTATTATCAGTGTTAGGAAGCAAGAGGACAGTGAAAAGGCACCAAAGAGTGTCATCTATTCCCTTAAGATGTGCTCATTCTTTTTATAGCTAAACTTGACACTTGACAAATGAAATTCCAACACTTCCATTATCTAATGTAATACATAATTCTTAAGTGAGTGATTAGTCAGGTGATTTTGGGCTTTCAAAAGGAATACATAATTTAAATGTAACAATAGCCAAATGAACAGGCATAACATGTTATGCTAAATAATTTGAAGCCACTAAACAGGTAGAATATGCTTTCCACTGTCAAAAGTAAAACAAATTTTGAAAAAGCTAAACACTATGGGTAATTAAACGTGCTCTTATAGTGTTAGCAACAACTCTAAGAGCAAAAATTACCTGCTGCAAATATTCTTCAATGCTAGTTGCCTCGGCAGGGAAAACATCCTCAAATGTTGTCTTAAGAAAAAAATAAAAGGCAGCAAAGAAGAAAAGAATAAGTTATTAAATAAAAATGGCAGCAAAACCACTAAAGAAGCAACTTGAGATTAATATATCCATGAAATGATTACAAGTTCACAGCCAGTAAAGTTTAGGTTATCAGAAATCAAACAGTATACAAAAGGAATTTTTACCTTCAATTCAAAAGATTTCAAATCCCGAGCAAGCTGTTCCGCATTTATTCCCTCACGTGCAAGTAACCTGCAAAAGCAGTAAAGATGAATAGGATGTTTGAAATCATAAATCAACTAAGTCTTGTGATCCAAAAACTCAATATAATCCATTAGGCAGACAAGAAATCATGGGAAACAAAAATAAACCTAATCCTTTTGGGAAAAAAAATATCAGATTCCCAACTCGCTGAAACATTTCATACTGACTTTCCTAGATATATTGGCAGCTACCAATATATTCAAGCAACATAAATATGTAATCAGAAGTACCTTGTGGCAGCAATAGACTGAGAAGGAGCCTCTGTTCTAACAGTTTTTGCCTTGAGCTTCTTAGATAATGCTTCTAACTGATCTAAGTTCCTCTGAAACAGATACAGAATAAGAAAACCAAAGTTAAGAAAGCCATATACAGGGATTCAAACATAACAGAGGCACGTTTTACTCAGCTAATTTTCATTTTAGCACTCTGTCCCATGTACTTAAGCAGCCAAACAAGAAAACTAAAGAAGTTTCAATATTCTTATGTATCAGAACAAGAAATAAACTTGACAGTGGCAGTAGGCTCAATTTGCTTACCTACATAACATTAACAAAATATAATAATAAATCAGACTTTGATCCTTTTACTAAACTTGCACACATTTCTCTAGAGAAATCTGAACGCTAGTTCCAAACTTGGTAATTAGAAAAGATACACTAAAATGAGCAGAAGTGACAAACTCCGACGCTCATTCTCACCAATTTCTCATAAACCAAACAAATGATAAATGCAACTCAAGCTCAACAGATGTAAGCATGTTAGTTCATTCACTTTCCACTTTCTCACGATTACACAAGCTAAATATAGCACAATTTCATTCTCATACTTTCCGTTTTCCATTCCAAAATTTTCTCGCGAACCAAACAGAGCTGCGTTTAGTCCTCAAAAACTGGAGACTTTCATTTCTTTACTTCTTCGTTAATAACGAAAAGCCAAGTGTACATTGTCCAAACCCTAAAACTTTAACATATTTTACTTTTTCGGTTAGCATTTTGTCGGAAACAAAGGGGGGAAAAAAAGAGAAAGAAGACCTGAAGAGGAGGAAACTGAGCAGAAGGAGCCGCTTGTTCGAGCAGTTTCGTTGAAGAATGGAGAAGATCGGTCCAGCTACTCATGTCAGAATCACTCGCCATAGCTTTTAGCTTCCAAATTCAGAATCAAAGAGAGGGAAAAAGGGTTTTATTAAGCCCTACACTTCAAAACGGTACAGTTTAAGTGCTTTCTTCGCGAGTCCAACGTTGACACCCCTTAAGTTTTGGAAAACTAGCACTTCTACCCCAAAACGGAGGTTTAAATTTAAACTGTCTAAAATAGTAAAAGCGATTATTTTCCTTATTTTAAATAAACTGCTGACCTTTTTTATATCTTATAAACTGCCTATGTGATTTAAAAATAATTTTTAAAGGTTAAATGAAAATATAATACAAAATTTTTAATTATATCTTAATATTTTTAATATTAGAAAATATGTTTAATATAATATTTAAAAATAAATTTTAGATTAAAATTTATAGAATATTGGGATAAACGGACTTAATCATTTTTTGACTTTACACTAGTTTTAAGAATCGAATCCGAAAACTGTTCCAAAATATTTCTGACTTATTTATTCTAGATATCTATTCATATCATTTTTTGTATCTTTTGTTTTCAAAATACAAAAAATCGTACATTAAATATGCCCACATAATTTGTTAAGAGTAAACCATTTTTTTTCCACCCAATAATGGTTTAACGACACTTTCCCACCTATGAATTTTTAAAATACCACTTTACTACCCAAATTATATTTCGTTTTCGATTTCAGCATCGTTGCGACCTAGCACCATCGATATTCTCTTTTCTGATCATCACTCACTAAAATCTCTCAAACTCTACTCTTATCAACCCTGCCAATTGCTGACAGTCAAACGATTAGGATTTGTGTAACGACCTCTCCCTAGTCAAATTTCGATCAATCTCAACCACCAAAAGTCAATCTTCTACCATCAAAAGACTCATCGACTTCCCCTCTTAAAAAGTCCTAACAGTTTAAACCGAGTTTGCTTTCTATTTGCCGTCGAAATATAAATTTAAGTAATAAAATAGTATTTTAAAAGTTTATGAGTAAGAAAATGTCGTTAAGCCATTGTTTGGGTGGAAAAAAGTGTTAACTCATTTGTAAATTTACAAAATTCTGAACACACCAATTTAATTTTTATTCTTATCCAAAAATCAAAATACAAAAATATAATAATAATTTTTAAAGCACCAAACCGAAAGCAACTGTATCAACCGTTTGTAACTTCCACAATTCTGTAACTTTCTTCATTCATTCACAAACCAACAAAGAACTGAAGAAATTCTCCAACCGAAGAAACTCCCCAATAATGGCTTCCATTTCTTCAACCTTTCACATCTTCTTCCTCACAACTTCAACCCTTCTTTCTTCAACCCTCTCTGCAACTCTCATCGAAGACCTCAACGCCCTGCACCCGCCTCCTGACTTCAATTCAACTCTCTTCAACAACTGCGCCCACAACCCTTCCCACAAGTACTGCAATTCCTCCCCCATGGACTTGAATGAAATCTTCAAGTCCACCATTGTTGCATCCCATCTTTGCAATGAATCTAAGAACCCAAATTGCATCGAAACCTTCTCAAAAATCGACCTTCGAAGTTGCTTGAAAATCGCCCCTCTTTACTTGTCCTTCAGCTTCTTCTGGAAGTACTGTCCCATCAGCATTGTCTCCATTGATCTTGCAAACAACTCCTTGAAGGGTAGTTTCCCAAATGAAGTTCTTCTTTGCACTCAAATCCAGGCTCTTGACTTGAGTTACAATCAACTTTCTGGGGATTTCCCGGTTGAAAATTTCAGTGCTTTGATTAATCTTACACTTCTGAATCTTTCATACAATCAGTTTTCGGAGATCAAAGTTTCAGATATGGAGTTCTTGAAACGGTTTAACTCTTCGAGCTTCATTCGTTCTGGTCTTCTTCCAAAGCACCGGAACTACACCATCAAGGTTGTTATTTTTCTGGCTGGTTTTCCTGTCTTTGTTATTCTGATGGTTGGTTCAACAGGGTGGTTGTGTTTTGTGAGGCCAGATTTTCTTCCAGGAATGTGCAGAAGAAATCACAAGTTCACAACATGGATGCTGAAGGCAGCGACGAATGGTTTTTCAAGGAAGAAATTGGTGACCAAAGGCGAAAGTTTTGCTATATATAGAGGAATCCTGAGGGATGGTACTGAAGTGAATATTGAAATTTACAGGGATGACCTTTCCAGTGAAATTTACCAGAATTTTGTTGAGGAATGCAAGGTTCTTGTTCAGTTAGAACACAAGAACTTGGTTCGGGTACTGGGTTGGTGTAGCAGCAGAAGAATGAGATCGATTGTGACACAATGGACAGATGGGGAGACCATCGAGTTATGGCTGTCAGGATCGGCAGCCCCTCCATGGAAGAACAGATTGAAAGTGTTGATCGGAGTAGTTGAAGGAATGTGTTATATGCAGGAGCAATGGTCTGAAATTGGGTATGATCTCAGGACAAGCAGTGTTTTGCTATCTCACAATTCCGAGCCCCTGATTTCAAGGTTTAGGATTGAAGATCATCGAATCAGTAGCGCCAAAAGTCAGTTCTATCATCTATTTCCATTGTCCCTTTTTCATATTTATCGATCACACATTGTACGCTACTAAAATGGCTTAATCACTAATCGCTTCGGTGTTTCTCAGATATTTACATGTTCGGATTATTTCTATTGGAGATGATAGTAAACAGGAGGTCCCAGGAAGAATTCAAGCAAGGCGAAGCAGGTTTTATTGAGTTTATCAGAATGCATTACCCAGAAAATTTGCAGAAAGTGATTGACGAGAGAATGAAGCTGACACAAGACATGTTTGATCAAGCTAAGCAGGGAATAGGTCTTGGATTGATGTGCACAGATCAACCCAGTGGAAAACTCCCAAGTTTGAATCAGATTCACAGTATGATAATCGAGGCCTACCGGTCTTGCCTGGCTTTAACATCTGAAGATCATAAAAGATCACAAGACGATGGAGGGCGAAGACACAAGCACAATAAGGTCAGGTGAAGATACAATACATAGACATAGTGTGTAGACTAATTCAAAGCATTATACACTGGATATGCAGCAAAGGATTGTCACTGACTTAATGCACGAGAAGTTTCTGTTGTACAGAAAAAAATGCTCAAAATTTCAGGAGTAGCTAAGTTATATTGCGATGCCTAATTTGTAGTTGGCCTCAGGGTCTAATATTTCAGTTGCGAAACTAATTGATTGGCATGAATAGGCAATGTTTGTATACAAGAGCCAGGCTCAATCTTTAAGTGGCTCAAAATGGACAGTTGGAACATATTAGCCGTCACCGGACTGTCAACCCTAACAATACAATCTGGCCGGTCGGCCATTCAATCATACTCCGATAATATTTCAACTTGATTGTGTCAAGCTTGACAGGAAAACAATGCTTACCAAAATGTCAATCCCATGTCTAGATAAATTACGGATTATGTTAACATGTGCTGTTCTAGGAAGACTTCTGATGCTGAAAGTTTCCGAAAAGATGACGATTTAATTGCATCTAGTGACTAGTGAAGATATCCCAATTAGTAAGATTTATAAGTTTAATCATGAAAATTAGAGTTTCAGCCCTCCTATATCTACATACATTTGACAAATGAAGAAACAATTTTTAGTTTCAATGCAAAAGTAAATCATTTGAAGACAACTACAAGCTGCTTATCATACACAAAATAAAATCTGAAAACCATTAAAATTTTAACAATATGTCAGCTCTGCCTAGGCTTCAAACTAATCAGATCACATGTACAGTCTCCTTTTTCATTTAAGAAGAGCCAATTATCTTTGCAGCAATTAGAACTTAAAATTGCAAAACCTCATTGGATGATGCCAGGCCTGTTTGCTCGCGTTTTAGATCTGGTCTTATGCACTTTCTTTGGCATATCAGCTGTTAAAGCATACATCTTCACAGCAAATAACTCCTCAGGCAATCCCTTTTGATCCTGATGTAATAAAAAAATGTGCAATAATTCAAAAGGTTTCAAGCAAACTAAATGTTTCTTCTTCTCTGCACTTCATATAACAAGATTAACATCCAAACTCACTTATTTCTATGTATCGGACAATGTTTTCTCCAATATAATTTAGTTTTCTAGCCACCCCAAGCATTTTCTTGATGCATCTTGAATTATATAGCGTTTAAGAAAACAAAAATGATACAGAGGATTCTATTGTCACTTATGGCATCCTGAATCAATTTGACAATAGATATGGATGAAACCATGTTGAAAGAAACCAAAAAGTTCATGTATTTTTATTTCTTTTTTCTAGCATTGAAGACTGCAAAATTTTGTCTTTTAACATTAACAAGCACTTGTGAACGAGATGTTGATTTTTTACAAAAAAAATGAGAGTGCCTAGAACTAAAAATTTGTGTGCGTGTGTGACAACCTTTTAAATTTTTTTTGACTTGTTGGATTCAAGAACAATGATGAGGACTGGATGACACTGAGCATTGATGTAAAAATTTACAAGATTCTCAAATCTAGAATTCACTGTGTACAACTATAAATTATAAACTATTTTCTAAGATAGGAGTTAAAACCTTTGATTTGTAGATGTGTAATCCACACCGACTGAAAAGCTCCTTGAAGTATAAATCGGATCTAGTAATACTTCGATCTTCATTGTCCAAAACAAATCCTGCAAAAATATTCTATAACCATGAGAAGCTGTTAGAATCCCACATTGAAAGGGAAAAGGGTGGGCATGTGGGTTATAAAGGCTTGGACACCCTCCCTTGGCAAGCCGGTTTTCCAAGGAGAGTTCTACCCAAGCCCATGAAAAACCCATGGTCCAGCCCAAAATTGTTGAGTTATTAGAGTGGGTTCCTATCAATTGGTATCAGAGCATGATCCTGCGCCTATGTGGCAACGCACGCGTGACAGGCTGACCCGTGGCAGGCTGACTTTGGGCTCGGGCTACTACCCAAAGAAAGGGCATGGAGGCCCGAGGGAAAGGGGATCCACGTAGTCACCCAAGAGGTAAAGAGGCCGACGTGGACGTCGGTTGCGGAAACGTGGTGGAATGTTAGGATCCCATATTGAAAAGGAAAAGGGTGGGCATGTGGGTTATAAAGGCTTGGACACCCTCCCTAGGCAAGCCGGTTTTCCAAGAAGAGTTCTACCCAAGCCCATGAAAAACCCATGGTCCAGCCCAAAATTGTTGAGTTACTGGAGTGGATCAGAAGCCCATTTCACCATTGGAACAATTGCAACTACATCTTAACATGCAAGCTAATTTTTTTTTCTTTTATACAAAAACAAGAAAATCTATTTTATAAACTAGAATGATTAACAAGGAGGGAGATTTAAAATTGGACAGGCAATATACACATAAAACCCCCAAAGCTCAGTCAGAAACCTTGTGAAAGCAAATTTCACAAGGAAGAAGTGCATTCGCACAACTTTCATGAAATTGAATTAGTATGGAATGAGAAAAAAATGGAAATTCAAGTAGTTATTACATTCTTAGGAACAAATAGTGTCCACTTATCAATAATAGCTCAACTATACTGACTATATTGGGAAAAACTTGATAAGCATGGTCATAATGCAAGTCAACAAATTCAGGTCCCATAAAGAACAGCTTTCAGCAACAGGTTATGACATGAGGGAAATCTGAAACGAGTTCTTAACAATTTTCTCTAGTAATACTAAGTTTATCCTGCGTGACTTGACAGTCAACATAGCAGACTGAAAACTCCTCTGCCAATTCTAATGTCTTTGAAAATCAACTTCATAATAATGGCATTTATGTTATCAGTTTTTCATAACTAATAAAATGAAGTTACAAATTCAAAATATATAGATGCATAAATCAGTGCTGAAGTGACTTTCAGATATTAGAACTACCATCTGCACCTATTAATGCCGCTATCTGCAATATGCTAATTAATTGCATGTTTATCAGAGCCCATCAATTTCAATCTATGCTAAAAATTCAGGTATTCAACCTTGTCTCTCCCTAGGACTACTTTTTAACATTCTCCAGAATCAAGAGGCTTACACTGGGTCTGTTTTTCATATTTCCAAGTATTTCCCTCGAAATTTGAATAAAAGAAATGAAGTATAAACCTATTATCATTAAATTGAAACATTTCTCTATTATCAAATCTTTTTCATTTCTCTCATTGTCCAAACTAGAAGCAGGACTTGGATCAGTTCTCTTCACTTCTCCCTTGTGCCATGGACACTCTCTAGCAAAACAGTAATTTTGATTCAGTAGGGTGCAAATGGGTGTGTGATACAATGAGCACAATGACCAAAACAGGTCAGACAAACACCACATGCCAGGGCTCAAACAGTAAAACACCAGTCTAAACAAAATTTAGAACAACCCAGCAAATCGTAATAGTAAGATACATAAAAGATAGTAGTAGAGACAGAAAGTACAATACCACTTCTTGCAATATTCTCTTTCAGGACAAAAAATCCACCAGGTTTAAGGCCGTCCTGGAATTGGACAAGCAATACAATTAAGACATATCATAATGCTAACTAATTTCCTTTTATAATCAAAATACGCAGAAGAAGACAGAAAACTGAGTAATTTCTGAAGCACAATACAGATTGTCTAAAAATCAGGGCCTAAATTACTGCAGTGAAGCAAAGACAAAGACGGAAGTTATAGTGTCCAACACACCAACAAAGGTACATTTGGAGTGTTTATTGGTAGTCAAACAAAGGTAAATTTAGAAGTGTTCTAATAGTGATCAATGTACACAATATTAAGAAAGCTAACAGAAAGCCTAGATAACAAGCTGAGAGAGGAAAAAGAAAAATAAAAGACACTTCTCAAAATTTCCCATTTTAGGCTGTTTCTAAACAGCCTTAACCAAGATAAATATGTAAGTGCTTGAAAACAAATCTTTTTCATCCTTCCTATTTAGTGCACACAAAATACATGTTTCAACTTTTTAGGTTTCTCTTACAAAAATAAAACTCCACCTATCATCTCATGATATAAGAAAATATTTATTATTTGTTTCAACTTTCAAGTGTGGAACTCACTTACCTTAGCTCTCTTAAAGAATGAAACGAAGTCATCATCCGTCAGATGCCCAATGCACCACTGTATCCATATGACATCATATTTTCCTGCATCTGGAGTAAATTCCTGAAAGCATAGAAAATTCAATTTCAGTTACATGGTAAATAATATAAATGGAACGGTAAGCGACTTATTACTAATATAGATAATATTTCGCTTCAAGTAAACAACCTGAAGAGGAACACAAAAAAAATTAGCAGCCTTGTGCGTATCAGAGGCCACATGATTTTCAGAAGCTAAACTTTCACGAGCAGCATCTAAGAAATGAGACACAGGCTCAAGAAGATCAACCTGTTATCACATAGAAAAGATTAACATATAAAAGGATAAATGAGTCAAATTTGAAAATTCAATTTATTGAGCAGCTGTACAACTGAAGTTTACTCCTATCTAAACACCATGCAATCAAAATGCATCATAACAGGATGAACAAAAGCCTTAAAATCTGATAAAGATATAATCTCTTCAGACAAGATAACCTCGCCTAAACTAAGTCATAGGGCAATGTTTAACACAGGAAGCAAGCAGCAATATTGACATCTAACAAAATCCAAACATTAATTCAGCAGGTGGTATGAAATGTTAATAGAGGTGGCAATTGCAAACACAAACCATGAACAGAAGTCAAATCAAACATGAAGCTCACCACTTGAGGTTTTACCTAAGTGCATTATAATCACCACAAACCGTAGGCTGACTTCCCAAACCAGTAATAAGTGAACACATGTACAAGCCAAAACTTGTTTTGTGACTTTTGTCATCATTGATTGAGAATACAATGAAATATTGGATGAGAAATCTACATAAATTGAGTTAAATATGGGGGTAAAAAAGGGATTTAAGATCAATTCCGAGTTTAATTAATCGATAAAATATAACAGACTAAACATGCCCTGTTTAGTTCACAGTGAAGATTTGAACTTACCATAATGTTAGTGCTTAGGCATACTATTAACATCGAGTCCATCCATGAACCACCGACCAACAAAACAAAGTAATTATTCTTCAAGTGAACAAATTCCAAAAGGGGTACTCCATAATCAGTTTTCAAACGTTCATTCTACAAACAACTTTTTACTTGGAATAGATTGTAATGGACTAGCTGTTGCATTATGCATTTGTATAATTATACCGCATAAGGACGCTGTTGCCCAATCACATATCACTAAAATGCAGCCAGATTATATCTAAGACTACACTGCTTAAACCAGTAAATATGGGGAAAAAAATAATAATAACTTTACCTCATTAAAATGTCTTATTAAAAGATTCTTGGTGATTCTCCCAATCCCAGAACCACAATCTGAACCATTTCAAAAAAATGCGCAAACACTTATTCGTCAATTCAAAAGCAAACGGCATAAACAGCTACACATAACATAGTTAATCACCAAGAACAATTAAAAACTCCATTAACATAGTTACCAAGAGCAACAAGATGCTGAGTTCTAGCCGCGTTGTTAAACCGTTCAAAGAAAAGGGTCTGTAAAAAAGCTTCACTGCCCTTTATATCAACATCATTAACCTTTCCAAAGCCACCCAAAACGCCATCAACCGATGCCTCCACGCCCGTTTCTTCAGAACCCACAACGGAAAACTTTCAATTAGCTGATTTTGACAAACTGATACAACAAGAAAGAAAAAATTTAAAAGGAACAATCAAATTAAATTAAAAGAAAAGATGAAAAAGCTTATTCCAATATGAAACGCCTTCGCGGTACCACTGAGTCTTCTTGTGGGCTCGCTTTTCGCCAATTTGTTCTCTCCACATTTCTCTGCGTTCGAACTGTTTGCCATTTGAATCTACCCCCTTAGCTCCATCGCCACGTCTCTCTCCCTTCACTCTCACTCTCTTGCCGGATTTCAGGGAGTGATTTGCCTTTGGACTTGTAGAATAGAGTGGCATCAATGACACTCCATTTATTTTGAATAAGAAACTGGTTTTTAAGGAATCCATTAAAAAATTTTAAATTGTTTATATATTTATTTTTCACTTGGAATAGTTGGAGAGGATTATCTTTTAACTTTTAAAATAATTTATTATTAAATTTTAAAATAGGATTTCTTCCCATATTTTCTTAATTTTTATACAAAATCAACTAAGATTTAGGTTTCGTTTGGTTCGATTTTAGAAATATTATTATTAATACCTAAAAAGTTAAACAGTAAAATGTCATTATTCAAAATATTATTTATATTTTTTAATTTCTTTTAAACCTTCTAAATTTGTTAATTTAACTAAACTCATCAAATATTTTTTTAAAATTGAAAAACACTCAGCCACCCTCCGACGATAGCCACGACTGTTCGTATTAGTGGTGGGTTAGAGGTGTTTTTGTTAATCTTAATATTTATTATAGAGGTGTTTAGTAAATAAACAAACATAGGGGTGTTTTTGTTAATTTTAAATCCTACACGTAATACCGCCAATTTAACTTTTTTCAAAATATTTTCTAAAAACCATCAAATAATGAATCAAACGAAGTCTTAATAATTATCGGTTGATAAAATAATTTCATATTTTATCTATTTTTGTGTGTGGGTGACACATTGTGACTACCTAAAAACTAGTTTATAACTGGTGTTATCTATCATTTTTGTAAGCCAATTCAACTCAAGTCTATCTAACGTGAAATTGAACATAAGAATTACCTTTGTGGTTGATTGATTAGATAATGACTCTTAGGTGTATTATTCAATAAGTTCTGAATTCGAGTCCTTCTCAGTTGCTAATAAGGGTAGCATTAAACTCTTACCCGGCTAACCGTCTCGGAGAATTAGTAAGGTACGTATAAATTGATTCGAACACACTCAATCAATGAAAAAAGAATATGGTAACATAAGAGAATGTTAAGTCGAGCACTTAATACTACTAAATACTCATGAAATTAGCAAATATCCTCTTAAAAATGTTTCAAAAATTCTTGGAAAAATGTCAAAAGTTTATGAAAAACAATTAAATATGGATATTTAATAGTTTTTGAAAATTATTAAGAGACTTAAATGATCTCCGGACATTGAAAATAACCAACGAAAATAACATATATTTAGTTTAGGTTCACTTCAACTCACTTATTTCGGCCGATGGGCTAATTCTATTTGTGGGCTTTAATTCTTCTGATTCAATTGTTCTCAAGAGTCCAGTTCCGGTTCGTGCTGGGCTGGTGCATGAAGCCTAAAAATATTGGCCCACGAGGCCCTAAGTTTTCGGGGTTTTGAATTTCATATGATGAATTCTTGGTTAAATCAAGATCTTTTTTTAATTAAATAAGTCCTTAACACTAATAATATATAAACTTGTACATATCAAGATTTTTGTGTATTTAGTTATAATACAACCAATCAATGAGAATATGTCATATCAGCGTGAGTTGAACACACTTATTTTATCGTTATATATCAATAAACCGCACATAAAACTTTATGTTTAATGAGATTGATAAGTAAATTAACTCCAACTCATTCATCAACATAGCTAATATATAATGAGTTGAAAAGGGGGTTTTTACAATTAATATTACCCCATAGATTTATAAAACTTTCTTATTTCGAAATAAATTATCCTAAAGGTTTTACTTTCTATGGAACAATTTTGTAGAGAAATTGGCTTGAAGCGTTCTTTAATCCTTAATCACTGTAAGGACAAAAGGAATTGAAATATGCTAAATCACTGCTGGGTGACTTGATGGTAAAAAAGCAAATGAGGATCTAACATGGTCTTCCAAGTTTGAGTCTCCTTGATAGTAAACGAGCGAGAGAATAATTTAACATGGTTTTTCTAGTTTGAGTCCTCACGGCCCGTAATAGGGGTAGCCACTAGAGCTTTTACTAGACTGATAGTTCTAGGGTCCCGAAAGATTATTTGAGGTACGTGCAAACTAGACTCAAACATCCCCGGTAAAAAAATAATAATAATAATTTGAAACACTGTAATTAGAGAAAGAATTTGAGACCATATATATGATCATATTTATTATGTACCCATTAATAGCCAAAGATATTAGGGTTTACGGTAGGAATGAGAAGCGAGTCGAGCAATTCGCAAGCTACTCAAGCTTGGCTTATGACAAGCTAGAACTCGATTCAAAGTCAATTGAGTCGAGCTCGAGTGGCTCGGAGGGCCAAATTGTAAGTTTTGTAACTTTAAAAAAAAAATAGAATGATAAACAGCCCGCTTCTCACAATAAACTCGAAGCTCGAGCTCGATTATTCGAGCTTGAGCACGAGTTAGAGTACCCACCCATACTCGCAAGCTCGAGCTCAAGCCCAAGTATTCAAGCTTGAACGAGGTTGACTCGAACTCGATACTATTCATCACGAACTGAGCTCGAGTGTCTCGATACTCGGCTCGTATACATCCCTAGTTTACGATTATCATATCATTTATGTATTTATCATATTCTCTTTTGTACCCAATTATAACTTACTAATGAATATATATACAGAAAAAATGTAACAAGATTCTATTGAATGGACATTTGATAAGAGCTATATATGTCTGATATAAAAACTCATTGAAACCTATAGGAGACAGTGAGTGGACATTGTAGGTCCCGAACGCACATTTTTTACTTTATGTAGGAATCCAATCTTTGTATTGTGCATTTAGATAGAGGAATCCAATATTAGTACGTAGTGTCTCATTACTTGGTTTTGCCTAACATTTTCAAGGCACCAAGGACTAGATTTATCAGGCCATTATTGATGTATTTGCCTGCAGAATTTGCTTCAACTGTCACTCTTGTTATTTACAAAAGGATTAATCTATTATTGATCCTCTGATTAGACCAGAATTTCTCTTAATCTGATTTTTACCTGAACAAAATACACAATATGTGTCGTGAAACCTTCATAAATTTAAGAGAACTCAAATTAGGAGATGATGCTAGCCAGTTCGTAACAAGTAATTTATTGGATTGGATATCTGCATCTCCAATCAACATACCATTTGACAACAGTATAATCTGAATCTCGTTTTTAAAGTCTCACTACTCATATTTACACCTTTTTTCTTTGCATTTTGACAAATTATCACATACAATTAAGAAGGGTATTCGAGGATGGAAGGAGATTCATATTTCACTGTGTGATTTATTTTGTTGTCGATGAAAATTGAAAAGTTGAATATTTTCGGTGAGCCACGGTCAACCCTAGAGGTTTTAATTAGCTTCTAAAGGCATAAAAGGGGGGGTTTAGATTTGAATTTGAGCCACAAATCATAAGAGAGTTGGTTAATATTTAGTCTTGTATAATAATGAGAAATGCGAAAGATATTATAATGATAAATGTAACATGGGATAGTGGAGAACTATATTATAAATAAAAACACATTGTCTCATGATTAAAGTGTCTTTCTTATAAACCCTAAAAATCATTAGTTCAATGCTTCAATTGATTGATATCTCTACAATCTCAGTCTCTCTCATCTCTTTCTTTCACCAAATCTACTGGAATAAAATTTGAAAGAACTTTTGATCAAATATTGTGAAAGGTCAAATGATGAGACAAAGACAAGCACTGATGATGGAAAAAAAAAAAGGAAAAGAAAAATGAATGGAAAATGAGTCAATCAACACTTTGAATAGTGTTTCAAGACGACCCGACCCCATTATTTTAACTTTGGCTTTTCGAGACCGAAATTGCATGGCCATTTTGCATGGAAATAATAATGTTAATAATAAAATTTGGTTTAACAACATAAGAGAATGTTAAGTCGAGCACTTAATACTACTAAATACTCATGAAATTAGCAAATATCCTCTTAAAAATGTTTCAAAAATTCTTGGAAAAATGTCAAAAGTTTATGAAAAACAATTAAATATGGATATTTAATAGTTTTTGAAAATTATTAAGAGACTTAAATGATCTCCGGACATTGAAAATAACCAACGAAAATAACATATATTTAGTTTAGGTTCACTTCAACTCACTTATTTCGGCCGATGGGCTAATTCTATTTGTGGGCTTTAATTCTTCTGATTCAATTGTTCTCAAGAGTCCAGTTCCGGTTCGTGCTGGGCTGGTGCATGAAGCCTAAAAATATTGGCCCACGAGGCCCTAAGTTTTCGGGGTTTTGAATTTCATATGATGAATTTTTGGTTAAATCAAGATCTTTTTTGAATTAAATAAGTCCTTAACACTAATAATATATAAACTTGCACATATCAAGATTTTTGTGTATTTAGTTATAATACAACCAACCAATGAGAATATGTCACATCAACGTGAGTTGAACACACTTATTTTATCGTTATATATCAATAAAACGCACATAAAACTTTATTTTTAATGAGATTGATAAGTAAATTAACTCCAACTCATTCTTCAACATAGCTAATATATAATGAGTTGAAAAGGGAGTTTTTTACAATTAATATTACCCCATAGATTTATAAAACTTTTTTATTTCAAAATAAGTTATCCTAAAGGTTCTACTTTCTATGGAACAATTTCTTAGAGAAATTGGCTTGAAGCGTTCTTTAATCCTTAATCACTATAAGGACAAAAGGAATTGAAATATAATAAACCACTACCAAGTGGCTTGATGTAAAAAAGCAAAGAGGGATCTAACATAATTTTTCAAGTTTAAGTCCCCTTTAT